CAACCTTTCACCCCCTCCCCCACGCCTGTTCCAAACCGTAACCCCAAACTCCATGTTGAGGAGTGAGGAGGGATATACGAAGGTATTCCACACCACTTATCACTTTGTAAAGAAGGTCCCACGATTCTTGAACCCTTGCGTTCTACTTCACCGGTGTTTAGGAAACTAGGGTAGGGTTGTTTGTATTTCACTCGAAGCACGTCATGCGATCGGTTCGAAAAACGAAACTGTGTAAGTTGTTGTTTTTTAAAAGTTTTAGTAGAGGTTTTAGGACACTTGTAAATGCATAAGGTCATATGAGCGCCAGAAGATTACAGATGTTACAAGAGAGGAACAAACATGAAAAAGAAGAAGGGGAGATGAGGACGATAGATGTTTCATACATTAGGAAAGAAGAAGCAAACCACACCAGAGCACCCGCCAACCTCCGACAGGACTGATCTGAACCTCCAACGCCCGACTGACCCCCACAGTCTTACGATTACAAGTCCGGTTGTCTGACCACTAGACCACTGATGCAACATTTCGATTCTAATATTATTATAAAAGAAGTTTATTATCGACTATCTCTGCGTTCTGGTTGGGATTTATCTATTTGTCTAAAATAGAAAATCTATAAAGGTTCACTCGCTTTCCTTGAACAATTCCGACAAACTCCCCAAAAAATTATTAACATATAATAAAATAAGATAAGATGAAAATATATACATTTTTAAAAAGAAATTGGTCACGATTGTTTGAACAACAAAAATGCACAGATCTAGTGGTCCTTCACAACTGTCAAGGGTTGCAAGATAAAAATGATATCAAATGAACACCTGGGAAAGGTCCTGTTTCAAAGTAAACACCAAATCATGAGCCGTGAGGCCCAACGAGGGAACCCCCCCCCCCTCTCCGATTAAAAAACGAGTTTGATTATTATTCAACAGATTTATTTCAAAGGCACACGTCAGTTCAAAGTTGACGATTTCGCTAAGGAAAAAAGCAAACAGAGTCTCGAGTAGGGGCCGGGTGTGTGTCGGGAAGAAGTCGGGTACATACCGGGTACATGTCGGGGAACAAGTTGGTTACTAGCCGGGTATATGTCGGGTATATATCGGGTACATAACGGGTACATAACGGGTACATACCGGGTACATGTCGGGGTACAAGTTGGTTACTAGCCGGGTATATGTCGGGTATATATCGGGTACATAACGGGTACATAACGGGTACATACCGGGTACATGTCGGGGTACAAGTTGGTTACTAGCCGGGTATATGTCGGGTATATATCGGGTACA